CCCGGCAAGCTCTTCCATTGAGAGCACCGACAAGTCCTTGGACTCTTCTATTGCACAAACAATATTCTCAAAGTCGTCAGTTAACAACCTTAAGATTTTCTCCACCACTCGGCAAGTGGGCAGCGTCTCTCCATTTCTTCCAAGTTGATTCACCACGGTCTCAACACGGGAGATGTACTCAGCAACCCCTTCGACCTCTTTCATCCTCATGCTTTCAAGCTCGCTTCTAAGAGTTTGAAGCCTAACTTGCTTCACGCGATTATCCCATTTATATGTCTTCTCTAGAATATCCCACGCTTCTTTTGAAGATTTAACATTTGCTATCTTCTTAAAGTCGGACTCATCAACAGCTCGGTACAGCACGTACAAAGCTGTTTTGTCCTTTACTCGTATTGCTCTCAATGCAGCAAGCTGGACAATCATCTGCTCTTCAATATTCTCTGGTTCTTGATGCCCATTTTTAACCACATCCCATACTTCCTGGGAACCAAGGAGAGCCTTCATTTGCAGGCTCCAGTTATCATAGCTTACGCCTTTCGATAACTTTGGCAGGGGCATGCTGTTAGCTAAGTTGGTCATCTCGAACAAACTCTCTAACTCTCAAAACTCTCTCTAACGCACTCAGGCTCTCAAGCTCTGATGCCAATTTGTTGACAAACAAGTATCTAAATAAAACACTCTGTATGTTATCACTTGATGTGTTTGCAATGAGTGGTACATGGTCAATTTATAGGCCTTTGGATATGACCTCTCAACTACATGCATTTAATACAACTACTACCTTTCAACTACATACATTCAATACAACCACTATCTCTCAACTACATACATTCAATACAATTACTACCTCTCAACTACTACCTCTATAACCACTACCTCTCAACTACATGCATTTAATGTTTACCTAACAAAAATACACATGACCACAATGAAAATGCAGCTAAATTAGGATCTAGTTGAGAATGACAGTTTAACCCTACATGAGAAGTATGATATTCTACTATGCAGTTTATAGTCCCTTGGGCTCTTTAAGTAGCTTTGGTGGTGGTGTTCTCCTAAGGTTTCTACTTATCGGTATTAGAGCTTTCCCTTATGATGTCAAACGACTGGCACATGTGGTGACACTGGCATTGCAGGTGCTAGTCACAGAGTTTGTGCACAAACAACTCAGCGAGCACTAGGACTGTGGAGTGTGTTGATATGTTAGGATCTAACTTGAGCCCCACATTGGAATATGGGATTCTTGTGTGCGGTCTCAAAGCCTTTGGGCTTCCTAACTACAATGGCTAACTTCTGAAACATGATTCTACTAAAGTTCTTATCAAGCTACTACAAAAAGTAATAGTTGTTTCAATGTGCATCTTCATGATAAGTCTAGAAATATGAGAACAATGTCATGGTTTTTTTTATTAAACAATGTCATGATTAAGCCTTAATATAATTGTATCATGCATCTTCTATTTCCCACTGAGGTTTCCTTGACACTTTTTTTTAAGAGTTGTCATTGTTTTATTCTGTTCGTACAAAAAATGCCTACTAACATTGAAGCTGGTCACTGGTTTTACCTTGTTACTTTGCATGTATATTTTCCATCCTTTTACTTCCCAATAAATATCCTTTCCGTCATACATTGACGTCTGAACTTTGAGTAGCTACTAATGTTGAGAATTCAAGCGAGAATTTGAGGAAATACAAAAGGAGTACTTGAAAGAAAACACTGGATGGGTTAAAGAGAAGAAAAACTTTGATATTCATCTGGATGCTGCGCCTCATATAATAATATTAGGTTCTGGTTCAACATACAAGATTATGTGATGATAATTTTATATGATCAGAAAGACTAATAAAAAATAAGAACATCTTTGAAATAGTAATAACATAAATGATTTCATATTTCCCTACCTGAAACCTTGTAATCTTACTATCTAATTCAATGAAATTCCCTTGTTATCATTTTAAGTACCCATCATTGGTACATAAATATAATTCAATGCATGTTTAAATCAATTGCAGTCTCTGCCTAGTGCTGAGCAGAATAATACTATTTTTGAGAGGGTTAATGAACTGGCTTCAGAAAAAGGGATGTACCCCATCTCAACTTGCATTGGCCTGGGTTCATCACCAAGGAAAAGACGTGTGCCCAATACCGGGAACAACCAAAACTGAGAACTTCAATCAAACATTGGAGCTTTGTCTGTCCAACTAACACCAGAAGAAAGGACAGAACTTGAGTCCTTTGCTGCTGCAGATATTGTCAATTGATAGATATGGGACTGAGGTACTTACTTGGAAGAAATCTGATACTCCACCACTATCTTTTCCTAAAGCTGCATAATAAAGTGCATTGCTTGATGCTTGTACTACTGTACATTATCCATTTGCCATTTGGGATGAACTTGGCTGTATAAACCTTTGCTGTTTCTAGCACTTGGTGTGCCTTTCGCAAATGTTTTGAACTCCGGCAAATGATTCAATATGTTTATGCAATTGTCTAAATAAACAAAGGCAAGCATGTGAAAAGGTTATGGCGTGACTTAAGTGTGGTGATTATTTCCTTGGTAAAAGCCTTAAGTGATATCTTGCTTCAGTTGCCTAGGAAATTAGCTTATAAGTGATGTATATTGCTTCAGTTGTGTATACTAGTCTTTGAGTACAGTGGGAGTGAGTTTATAATATACATGATTACGGATTTGCATTTCTAAAATTCTGAACAACTGAATTTTTTTTCTTAACTGATATCAGTTTCACTCTCGTACCTGTTAGGATTCAGAATCCAATATCCACTAGGGTTGGCCTAGTTCCAAAATTTTGGATAGTTTAGGTAAGGTCCTAGTGTCTAACCTATGAATTTGGGGTTCTTTATATGATCAAACTGCACAATAATGTGCCACTCAAAAAACATAGAAACATACGAAACCCTAAAGCATGTCACTGCTTCACCAGTTGCGGATTTTTACAATAATATTAAAGAAAAAATAATATATTATTAAATAATAAATGGATATAAAAAAGTGAAATAATATGAAAGGTTTCACCTCCCAAGACATCTTGCATCTTACTATTTATGCGAATCAGGGAAGTTGCTTAAATATAATCTACTGCATAAATATTTAAATCTGTCGAGAGTATTAGTAAAATGACTGCAACGAAGGGATGCACTCCATTTAGGGTTGCATTTGGCCTGGGTTCATCACTAACAAATTAAATTAGATTCAGAACTTTAATCTGAACATTGGATCATCGTCTGACAAGCCAAGTTAATGAAAAAGGTGTGTCTAACTACTAAATTAAATTCAAAACATTTGTGAATTTGTCTGAGAAGCTAACAACATAAAAGAATTTGTTACTCCATTATTTTCTTCTGGGAAGGCTGCATAATAAAGTGCTTAGTGTATCCTAATATTAGAGTGTTCTTAGGTATTCTGTTGCTGCAACTTTAAGAAACCTATCAGTGTGTTGTTTAAGTGGTTTGATTCAACTGCTTCGTATGTGTGTGCATCTAATTATGTTTGTCTGTCTATGTTGAAGCACATAAAAAGGGTAGTGGCCAATCTTGGAATAAAATGGAGTGAACCCGATTTGTGGTTTTCTTAAAAAATTCTCAATAACTTGTTTTACGTAACACTTTCAGTTTTATACTTTATAATATGTAAGAAGAATTCAATCTTTTGTCCAACATCCAGAAATAGGCTTTTTATCCAGCATTCATCTTTATTTTTTGTACAAGTTGGAGAAATAATTAAGGTCAATAAGTTCTTTGATATATTTTTGGTGATTTGAGCTTAACACTATTTTTGTTTTCTTTTCTATGGCCAGTTATTAACCCATCTTATACTAAATTTTTTGGCTAAAATCATCCATAATTCTTTATATATATATATATATATATATATATATATATATATATATATATATATATATATATATATATAATGCATTACCTGTAAATTGAATGAAATTAAAAGTAACAAGAGAAATCAATTAGGGTTAAATATCAATAACATGTTGGTTAGTACAAGAAATGACAAGGCCAAACATATCCATAAGGTGACATGGAAATAGTAACTGGTTTGATACATTCAGAATTTTATATTTCATATTATACTTCTTATTATTGTGCTAAATATCTCCTTACACTCATACTATACTTATATTCTACTTCTTTTATTACTCTTCTCTAAAATTACCATTTTACAAATATTTTATTAATTATATTTAAATACCAGAGTAAAATCTTTTTCATTGAGTTTCACTAATGTTTTTATCCTTGTATTCATACTAACTTTCTGTTTCAATTCTTATACAAACAAAATTCTTTCTTAGTTTTAATTAAACCTTCGGTTACTATTCAATATATAGTCTTAAAATAGGTGTAAAACATGAAAACTAATATAAAACTCAATAGTTTTTTTATTTTAATATTTATATACTAGGTGTAAAACTTAATTTATCAGAATCTTTGATTATGACTTAAAAAATAATTGTCTTAAAATTGACATGCTTATCATGCATAGTTTATGATAAAATAACGATGTAAAGTAGTGAATAGAATTTTTTTTTTCTTTTTTATAAAGTGTAAAACGCACTGATACAATGAACATGGATCACTCATTTAAACTGAGGTCCCAAACTCAATTTGTTGAGGTACTCTCACAAAAATTGCCTCAAGAAATGGAACAAGATTCATGTTAAGAGACGAACTTTTTTAGAGTGCTCAAGAGATGCTCATCACACACCTAGGGAGGGGAGGGGAGGTGAGAAGAGAACAAAATGCTACATCATGAAATGTTGAATATCCCAAACTAACAAGCAAATGCTCCAACCAAGTGATTTAAGTTCACAGGGCAAACTTATCAGCTTACAAGGAGAATTTTGCTCAATAGTACGTGTGCTCGGAAGGAGGGATTACACATTGTACACGGATTACAAAAACTGCTGGCCAATGCTGCTTTAATCAGTTCTGAAGAGCAGGATGGACCAAAATTTGAGATTGATGTATGTTACCCAAGAGAATTCTCATGAAGTAATACATATTCTCGGCTGCAATAGAAAACAAGATTCAATAATATGCATATATATCGAACAAAATTGTAAGGTACAAAATCCACTACAATCTGTTTCAGTTAATGAAATCAAAACTTTCAGTATTCAAATAAATTATTTTCCTCAATCTAAATCTAATTATCAAAACAACATTAGATTCAAATAATGAATGATAAATATTACATATAAATAAAGCCATAAAATATAATTTTTTTCACTAAAACGTAGGACAGCTACTAAACATGTTCATATGAAAAGCACAGAGAAACAACTTTGCCTAATAATTTTTACTCAACATAAGAAATATTTATTTTGAAGGTCGTGAAAAACAATTATTGGCCACATCTCACTTACCTACTATTACCATATTTAATGGTGTCCTTTTCCCTAAGTTCATAATACCGTTGAGGCTCAATGGGACTCTCCTGCAAAAGCAAAAAGCATCAGACAGATTCATTTGACATCTAACTTCAGCTCTGCTGCCAGTAAACATGAACAAATCAAAGGCCTTCAACAACACTCACATTTATGAAAGTTTTGTTTGTGCTTCCAAGGTCCATAATGTAAGGCCTAGTAAAGATCATATACATATTAGGTTAGCACATGGAAAAACTTTTAGATGTACATGAGGAGCCCACAAAAGTAAGAATCAGCATTACCTTATTTGCTTTAATAATGTACCATCGGGTTGCTCCTTTTCAACTTGCCTAGTAAGAAGAAATTCTTAAAAATTCAGAAAATACAATCACCATTTAAGCATCAATTACCAAAGAAACCAAAGTGGGTTTGCTTATATTGAATGAATACCGGAATTGAATAACAGCATGTTGCTTGCTGCAAGATGGATGATCAGTAGGGATATCAGCAACCCTTCTTTCCCTTCCAAAAAGATAACAACTTTGGCGGTGTATATAAAGGGGCTCTGTCAATCAATAGTGTAAAATTTCGTTTAGCAAAAGTAGGTAGAAAAAAAAAAAAATTGTTGTTTGGAAACTCAAGAAAATTGTAGTTCCATTCAGGCCCATCCACTTTGCAGAAAATTCTAATTAAACAATTTAATAGCAGGAATTGAAAAAAAAAAAATCTACATTAACTGTTGAAAATTTATGAGAAAAGGAATAATATAGACAAGAAAAATTCTAACACGTTAAGAATACTTCTGCTTATGTACAACAGACAAATGTCCAGGGCTGAGGGGGGTGATTACAACATAAACAAAAAGGAAAAGTTAATAATATAAACTAGAAAAATTCCCAGGCATAATGCATGGAAAAGGCCAAAACAATTTGTAATTGCAAGTTGCAAACAACTGAAAATTGAGAAAAAGGACTACAGGTCTGTCAATAGCACTTTCGTGGGAAATGTTCCCACAAAATATTGATATGAGGCATACAAGTTGGACAGTTTGTTGTGAGATATACTATTAGCAGAAGTCATAAACACGAACCATGTAGCACTTCACCAGCCTTGAAAACATAAAGCCTCCATTTAACATCCGGTTTTCGTGCCTCTGGTGGTTCATTGAATAACAAAGTAACACCTGAAAAAGAAAATTGTTTGAGCTTACCCTAAAATGAAAGATAAACTCACCTAAAACTCAACAAGTGAGTTTCACCTCTGACTCGATTTGTTTCAGCTGCAAGCTTCCCCGATAGCTCAAATGAAGGTTTTTGCTGCACAAGTGTAAAAAACAATAGGAGTTAAATCACTCAGAATAACATTCGAATGACAATAGTAGCTTGTAGTTTGTTAGATCGTATTATATTTCCCTATTTTTTCTTGGATTGTAATGCAAGTTAAGATAGATTAATCAAGCACTGGGCACACAACTATGAATTCAATCAATATAGATATGTTATCATAATGTTTTAACACTAATAACTTAAATACTTGTTCTCTATTTTTTCCCCTTCCTCATTATTAAATCCCGTGTCTTTCAATTTTCCTTTTAAATGGTAAAGTCTCACTAACACAATTGTTAGTATTAGGAAAACCCTAAGTCTCACATCAACTAGTGATTAGTGAAGATAATCCTCACTTTTACAACCCAATTTTGTTTGAGCTATGCCTAAACTACCCTGTAAGATGGTATCATAATGAAGTTTGTTGAGCCTGATGAAGATCATGAGAAAGATCTTGGAAGACTTGAAAGATTTGATGAAGTCAAAAGGAAGATGATTTGTTGCTATAGTCCATAATGTGTCTCCATTAAGTATCATAGGTATAAGCACCTATCATTTCCTCAAGCATGAGTTTCTTCTTTCAAAAGGTAAAGAAAAACTATCATGAGAAAGATCTTGGAAGACTTGAAAGATTTGATGAAGTCAAAAGGAAAATGATCTGTTGCTATAGTCCATAATGTGTCTCCATTAAGTATCATAGGTATAAGCACCTATCATTTCCTCAAGCATGAGTTTCTTCTTTCAAAAAGTAAAGAAAAACTGCGTCAAGAATTTTAATATGTTAAAAGCATTAATATGTTAAGGAAGATTTTAATCTGATAAAATGTTTTTGATCGAGTTTTGGAAATCCATGGTTCGTAGTTTTAATTGATACATGATAGGTATTATCAAGTAAAACCTCTTGAAAAAAAATTTAGAGTTCTTTTAATCGATTAAATCATGTTTCTATAAGTTAAAACCTCTTTGGAAAATGTCCAGAGTTCTTTTAATCGATTAAATCACATTTTTATCAGTTAAAACGTCTCTAGAAAAATTGACAGAACCATTTTAATCGATTAAATCATTTTTTTATCAGTTAAATCAACTTAAACCTACTTCACTTAAAACTAACTTTAGTTATTTTAATTGATTAAATGACAAATTAACGGATTAAATGTATCAATATAATAAACAAATTCTCACTTTAATTTTAAAATATACTTTGCAAAATCAATCAAGCAATCTTTTGATAATTGTTCTAAGAAAGAAACGTGCTTTTTACTTTAGAAATCTTTGAAAACTATTCTTGAAGCTTTTTGTTCATCTTCTTGAAAGAACTCAACTTGTGATTGGATTGTTAATTTAGCATATTCATTTGATTATTATTGTTCTTCAAGCATCTTAATCTCTCATTCTGTCTTTTGTATTTTCGGTGTTTGGAAGTGTGGACCCTGATTAAGGCAACTGGAAATGTAGTTGTTGGTGAAGGTTTAAGAACTGGTTTGTAGTTCTTGGAGTAGATTGTGATTCTATTGTTGGTGTTTGTAATCAATTGAAAATTTGATTAGTGGAACTCAACTTAATTTGGTTGAGAACAGGATGTAGTCCTATGAATTGGGTGACCAATATAAATTCTGTTGTTTTTTCCCTTCTTTTCATTATATTCTTATATTCAAGATTGTGGTTCTTTGATTAAAAATAAGATTGATTTCAGTAAAATTTTGAAATTGATAATCTGAATTTAAAAGTTGTGAAAATCTTTTAGCATATCAATTCCTCCCCCCTCTCTTGATCTCAGCCTGTATTTCTAACAGAGGCTATCGTATCACCTACTATCGCGTATCAAACCAACACAAACAGTCTCATGTTCAAAATGTCTAGTAGTTGACCTGAGAAGTGTATTGGAGATCTCACATTAACAAGATATTGTCATATTACAATATTAAAGTGGAGACAATCCTCAGCTTACAAACTAGTTTTGTAAAGTTAAGTTAGACCTAAACCACTTTGTAAGAGTTATGGATAGCCTGGGATGCTTCACTCTAGCCCCCATAAAGGACAAGGACATCTTATAATATTATTGAAACTAGTAAAAATAACTGTGATATGTACTTCATATGGCATCTTTGTTTATGTTACAGTCATAACCTTTGTTAGAAGAGATTCTCTGACAAACATCTAATGAACAGCACAACTGAGCAAGTAAACACTGTTTTTGCATGCACACCATCTGACCCTACCAATTAACAAAAGAAGCCTCCAAAAGATTAGAGCAAAATGTAACAGGATGCAGCTTAACAATAAAGTAAAGGGGGGTAAGCCATACTACCCTAAACAAATGACAGTCTGAAAGGGGGCTTACTCTTCCTACCCCACCAACATAGAACGTAGAGAACTGCACAATATTGAAAAACAAGTTCCAAGAAAGAACATTGTTACCTTCTGTTTATCTTCCAAAGCATCCTCAGCAGCCTTCATTTTCCTAATAGAATCATTCTCATCATCCCTGCCCAAGCAGCAATTAGATTGTCATCATCAAAAGCTATACCAACTTGTCAGAGATTGCATAACTAATAACATCGCATCTGAAAGGTTCCAAACTTCTAAGGAGAGAGAAGCATCTAAAAGCAAATCACGAATGAGATCATACCTAGGCTAAGCGAGATTAAATACATGAGGTAGCTTATATAGGTACCATTAGTCATCCAATCAAAGATGGGCAAAGATGGAGGGAAGAATCGAAGAATGTTAAAAAATGAACAATTTAAGGACAAGAAGAAAAAAGCTAGAAAATATGGATCCAACTAGAGACATCAAATGATATTATATGACACATACATAGGAATATGCAAGTTTTAAAAATCATAGCTGTGGCAGAACTACAAAAAATGTATGAAGTCAATCTAGAATTAACATAAAAAAATTAAATCACAATTCTTCAGCTTGGTTATATGAATCATGTGTTGAATCAATTTTGTGCCTGAATCATACATGATCCGTTTGAATCACACACACAAATACTGTGATTCTTCTGCGTCGAGTCACCCGCAATAGGGTTGTTCTAATGGATGCTAAAAGATGTTATTTTTTCCTTAAAAAAAATTAGTTATGCCAGGGAATAGATTAACAATGAGTTAGGATTTGAGTACAATAGGAGAACCCAACCCAAAAAGGCTAGTCTATGAGTTAGTATGATCTTCACTTGCTTGCTGTTGTACCAGGTAAAGGGTTACAAGAAGCGAATATAACTTGGAGCTGTCCACTACAGTTATGACATGACACAATAAGACAAATATTCATAGAAATGCAACTAAAAGTACTTGAAGTATCCATGTAGTCTGTCATGGATAATTATCCAATACAGTTATGACAAAATAAAACTAATATTTGTAAGTATCCATCCTTCTCAAGATAAAAGCAGAATACTCTGCAGAACATTATCATTATTTTGAATTGTATATAAGGACTACCTTAATCACAAACAATTTGGGGGTTTGCTAGATATTTCACTTACTATCCAATCTGGACCATAGCCATACCCCACATTATTCATCATAGAATCATACCTTTCAATATCATTCCTATTTGTGACCATTAGTTAAGCTCCTAACCTCTTTGATTAATCTCCCCTGATTACAACCGTGCAGAACTTCTAGGATTTGATTCTTCCAATGGCATAAGGCACACCTCTCACAAATGACAAGATGTCCTCTCTCTTAACCTTGCTTACTATTTATATGCCTTATTTCTCTGACAAACTAACCTAAGTAATCAACTGCCTCAACAGACTAACTCATTGGTATCTATTATAATCCAACTCACTCTATCAAACAGTAACAATTATATCTATCTCTATAGTATTAACAAATTATAACATGTCTAAAGTCTGGGTGTCATTTGATTTCCAACTATTCTTCAAACCCAGAAACTTCATTTACGATAATTCATTATTGTTTATATACTTTGTCGTTTGGGTGTTCGTTCAGACAATGTTTTCAACATCCCAACATTGTGAATCACACACCATAACTAGATGATCAGCACAACACCACATGCATTGACTCTCACTTCTCCAAAGCCTTCTTCACTTCCATCTTTCCCATTTAACACACAGGATAAATTATTTCATCTCCATTGACTCACACCAAGATATTTTTTAAAAACAAAACACGTATTCCCAGATTCAAGTATGCAATTTTAATGGCTTGTATAAGGTTAAATGTTATCATCTCATTTCAATGCTCATACTAAGATATCCATTAAACTTCTTTTGAAAATTATCCCTTTCAGTTTTGGGCTTAGATTATGCATGTTCAACGAAATAGCTGTCACTTAGTAACCTTCCCCTATTATCATAGTTTGGTACTGTGAATATATACAAGAAAGATTTTTTTTTTTTTTTTTAATTTGAGAAAACTAAATTTGCAGCAGGGCATATTGAAGGGCAATAAAGAAGCTCAAAATGCTGCACTCCTATAAATAGATTAGGCTTAAATAAAACCAAAATCAACAATCCAACGTTATGGTCAACATCAACCAGCACGTTGATATTTGAATATGCAAGTCAATGTTGAAACAGCAGCTTACATTTGTTCAGCTCCTCTTGAATTTATCATCTGCAAAAGATAATATGTAATTCAGATAAGCATCAATTCTCAAAAATAATGAAACCATAACATGCAAAGAAGTTCAAATATGAATAAAGAGACCATAAAAATGGGAGAGAAGGGGAAGTGAAAAACTAAATGCCAAAAGTAAGGAATAATTAATTAATTAACATTTTAGGAACCAAAAGAGAGGCAGAACAGAATCAATATGCTATGACAGGAAAGTAAGACAGGAACTTTTAAGTGTCTCACCCATTCCAAATTCAGAAACAGAAGGCATGTAACATAAAACATACAAATTTTACCCGCTTAAGCCCAAAGCTAAACTCTATTAAGCTCCATTGACTTGACTTGATCCCCCTAGCACACCCTCTAATTCAAATAGACTTCTAATTTGTTGTCAACACATAATCTAACAGAATCAGAGCTTTCACAACTTTTACAGTTACCTTAATCACATAACTAGAGTACAAAGCATCATTATAATAACAGCATTGATGTCCTTTCTCGGTTAAAACATTTCCGTTGTATCAACATTTAACTCAAAGCCACCCTCGAAGAATGATCAAGTACTTTCTAAGATCGTCAAAGCCACCCTCGAAGAATGATCAAAGTACTTTCTAAGATCGTCAAAGCCACCTTAACTAAAATTCCAACCTCATCCTAACTCAACTTTCACCCTCATCCTTAAAGTCTCACAATTACATAAACACGTTGTTTGCCAAACACTCATACATCAGAAGAAGAAGCTTCACATTTTCTTAAATTAACTTACCTCCAAAACTATACATTACACAAATTCAATCATCATCTAGTAATACCCGAATTTCCACCCAATTCATTCAATAAATCCCCGTTCTAGCAAAAGTCACTACCAACAATCAGCAGAATTCAGACCACATATATAAAACAATAAACGAAATAATCTCAAAAGCATATCCCAAACCTTATGTTGCATGGGTATGGTACTGGTAGGGTACGGAATATAGCATTTTCAAAGAATTTAGAGTCTGGGTTTTGTATATATATATATAATTGCAATAATTGATATGAACTAGGGTTGGACATCACCGGACACCTCATCACGAGGTTTTGTATTTGCGGCGGAAGCGTGACGATGCGAAGGAGATTGAGACCTATGTTGGGCCCTCCCATTGTGGTCACGCTCCGGCGATCTTTCATGCCTCGACCGCGACAATCGGCTAATCCTTCCAACGCCGTCTTCGTTCTTCATTCTCTTTTCCGATTTGTTACTCCTTCCGCTACCCTCCTCGTCCGTTCTCTTTTCCCTCCGCTCAACTCCATCCATCTCCGAACCTATCCCTCTGCTGTTACTGCCATGATAATTCCTGTCACTCTCGTGAGGCTCACGGTGGCGTTCGGATTGAGTTCTCTTCAACCGCTTCGTTCGTGGAGACGGAGAGCGTGAGTGAGTTGAACCCAGCGTACCGGAACCGGTCTGTACTGGCTTGGCCCCGCTGCGGCCGGAACACTTGTGCTTATCCCGCGGCGGGGGAGAGACGCTGCGGTGGTTCCGGTGATGACGAGAGGGGGGAGAGTGGTCGCTGGAGGAGTGACGAGCCATGTTGTGATAGTGGCCCTTTATGGAATTGAAAGTTCCAGAACTCTGACTAAGCTACTAACACAACAATAGTAACCATTGCTTGTTATTGTTCTGTGATCGTCATTCAGATGCTGTACTGTGTGGGACGTTGGGAACTTTGGTGGTTTAGGGTTTATCTATTTCAGGTCACTGAACTTATTCGTTTTTCTTTTTTGAAGTAAATTTTCCTTTCTACAGTGTGGTGCCATTTTTTTTTAAACTAATATTTTAGCATAGAATAAATATTATTAAATGCATAATAAATAATAATCCACCTTAAAATGTTGAAACATTACCAAATATTTTTAATAAAGATCATATTTAAGAAGGCGAATTAACAATTTTCTAAACTTTCAAGTAGATTAAGATACTTATGAGTATCTGGAACACTTGTCTGAAAATTTTGAATGTCTTGGATAATTCATGTTTACATTATTTCCAATTTTTAGAGTTAGTATGTACATTAAAGTCTCGCAAATTCGGAGGTGGATTATCTTGCAAGGAAGATAGTTGAGCTCATTACTTTATCTTTTGGGTTTTCGATAGATGTATTAAATGCGGGGATTTTGTAATCATTTCCGTTTGATAGACGTTTTTTTTAAGGAATTTCAAGTGACATTTTTGCTTTAGCTCTTAGTTCATTTTAAATATCCTTTACCTATTTGTTTTGTATTTTGAGCCTTATAAAATTTGAGACTAGTTTTTTTTTTTTTTTTTTCAGCTTTTTTTTCTAAGTTTTTTTTTTCTTTTGAGTTGATCTTTTCTTATTTGTTGAGCTCTTTTGAATAGTATTGTCTTACCGAAGTACATTCGATTGGTGGTACTTTCGTTGATACTAAGGACTCACAAAATGTCTCATCTTTAGAAAGGGTAATTGTTTGTATCAGTACCTCAGAAGTGGAAAGGTAGGAAATCAAAGAATGTGGAATTAGGAAGTTCGAGCAATGTTGTTAAACCTAAGTACAAAGATAGGTTTCCCTATTTTTTATCCTAAATATTATTGGGTGCTTAATAAAGTACACCATTATGCCTCCAATTTACTTTTGCCTCATTTATAGAGGAGTTTTCTAAATCTTTTATATCTACGAGCCGACTTACACCTATCTGATGGTACTTACCCCTTATTACGCTGATTATGGGGTTTATATAAAGCCTTTGTTGATGGGAAGGATTTTATGTCTATTTATGAGTATTTATTCAAGGAATGGGAGATTTTATTGCCTTTTATCAATTTCGAGTGTCACATGTTGACCATTCTCCGAGTAGCCCCGAGCAATTGTGTCCTAATAGCTAGGCATTTTTGAAAGTGTTTCAAATTTTGTGCTTCTTTCTTGGCATAAAAGCGTTAGTGAACATATTCATGTACTTCTACCAATTGAAGTATGGTTTAGAGATGGGATGGGTTTTCCTAAATGGGTCTTAGTAGGACATATTGTTTTCTATATATACTCAGTCATTTAATAATTTCAAGACTCATTTTTTTTTATTAAGACTCTCTTTTTTTTTAGTGTAACTCTAGTGATCAATCATGTTGACTATTTGTAACCCAAAACTATAACAGAAAAACGGTTTTAGACTAACAGATTTCTGGTTCGGTACTAAAAACAAAACTAGGCACCATTAAATACTATCTCAGTTGATGTAAATGTGTGTGAAAAAAATAATAAAAGTTTTTCTGAGTACTTATTTTCTTATCTTCTAAAAGGATGCTCATTGGTGTTATTCGATTATGTACAAAACATGCTAATAAAACGAGAACATGATTAGAATAAGAAAAATATGTGTCACTGATTCAAACAGAAGAAAAGGAAACGTAGATTTGTGTCGATTAGTGAAGCAGAGAGGAGTTTATCGATGTAAAGAGAAAGCAGAAGAAGAATCAGTGAGGAAGAGAGGAGAAAAGCTGAGAAGATAAGATTGAGGGAGTGAGAAATGAATGTTAGCAGGTGATAGGTGAAAGCATCAGTAGATATTTCTTCGTGAGTTGGGTTGAAGCTACAGTGGGCAGCCCAACAAATCAAAGTCTTTATTTCATCATCCAGATAGTTCTTTGCATTTCCCGCTTTACTGAACTACTCCTGTGAAGTTCAAGTCTCAAGCTAACCACTTGTTGTCTACTGAGGAAAAATTGATTATATATACTCTAACAAACTTACCACGTATGATTAGTTGTAAAGATTTGTTGTTCATCCCTTATGTTCAGGATCAAGTAGCCCATTATGTTGGAAAGGATCATTTGATGTGATTTTTGGCCGAGTGTTATTGTTTTGTATCACTTGTGATCGTGTTTATCTCATTATGGTTGTTTTTTCTTTTACAGAAGTGTAACTAGAGCAAGGTTCAAGAAAAAAGGAATCTTGAGAGTGTAACTACATGTTATACTCATGGCTGGTGGAAATTTGATACCGGAAAACCTACCTATATTTGATGGGAAAAGTTATGATGACTGGTGTGTAAAGATGGAGGCAATTCTTGGCTTCCAAGAAATTGATGAGATTGTAAAGGTGGGTTTCAAAGAACCACCCAAGAATGCAGATGAAGAGACCAAGAAAACGTATAAGGAGATGAAGAAACTAGATTGCAAAGTCGGGATGTTATTGCATCAATGTGTAGCAGCAAACATTTTTTAGAAAATCTCCAAGGCAGGAACAACAAAGGAGACTTGGGAGATTTTTGCAAAATGGGTATGAAAATTCTGGGAAGATGAAAAAGGTGAAGCTACAGTCCTTAAGGAGACAATATGAACTCCTTGCCATGAATGAGAAGGAGACAGTGGCTGAATATTTTGGGAGGTTACAAGTGATTACTAATGCCATGAGGACATGTGATGAGAGCATATAAGACAGCAAGATTGTGGAGAAGGTGTTAAGGACCCTAACCCCACAGTTTGACCACATTGTGGTGCCCATAGAGGAGTCAAAAGATATTGATGAGATGACCGTGGAGGAACTGCAGAATTCACTCGAAGCACATGAACAAAGAGTGAATGAAAGGAAGAATGGTGAGAAGGCAGTAGAGAAAGCATTACAGGTCAAAGTGAGCCACGGAGGAAGAGGTAGAAATGGCTAGAGAGGAAGAGGCAGAGGAAGGTCCAGAGGAAGATCTGGAGGCAGAAATGGTGGCAGAAATAGTGATGCAGTGACTCAAGACAAATCTGGTAAAACTGGGTCTAGAGGCAGAGGTGAGAATCAGAATAGAGGAAGAGGAAAAAAGTTTTATGACAAGTGAAAGATACAATATTATAACTACAACAAGTATGGGCATTATTCCTATGAATGCTGGCAGGAAGACACTTCAAAGAATGGGTAGAAAGAAGAAGCAAACATGGCATAAGAGAAAGGTGGTGAATCTGATTATTACAAAGTATTGTTAATGGCCACAACAGACAACGAGGAGGACAATATGGTTTGGTATTTGGACACAGAATGTTCCAATCATATGACTGGAAACAAAAACTGGTTGATTGATCTTAATCCATGTGTGAAGAACAATGTAAAATTTGCAGATGACAATTCCATTTTAGCAGAGGGAATTGAAAGGGTGATGATTACGAGAAAGGATGGAAAAGTGGCCTATATGAATGATGTTCTATATGTTCCAGGCATGAAGAATAACCTACTCAGTCTGGGACAACTATTGGAGAAGGACTTTACCATGAACTTGCAACAAAAATTTATTGAGATATTTGATTCACAACAGAGGTTAGTGATCAAGGCTCCATTATCCAAAAATAGAACATTCAAGGTGAAACTAAATACTATTGAAATTCAGTGCCTATCTGCTACTAGTGTGGAGGAAGAGAGTTGGTTATGGCACTATAAATACGGTCATTTAAATTTTAAGAGCCTAAATCAACTCAGCAGTAGAAAGATGGTGAGTGGATTGCCATAGATCAAGCTACCAGCCAAGGTTTGTGAAGAATGTGTGATTGGAAAATAACCTAGAAAGGTTTTTAAGGCCACTACACCAAAAAGAGCCAAGAAAATATTGGAGGTTGTGTACTCGGATGTTTGTGGCCCCTTAGATACACCTACACTAGGAGGAAATAGATATTTTCTCACCTTTGTGGATGAATTTTCAAGAAAAATCTAGATCTATCTACTGAAAGAAAAGGGAGATGTATTTTCTGCTTTTGTGAAGTTTTGTGCAATAGTTGAGAGGCAATCTGAGAAGAAGGTGAAAGTTCTCAGAACAGATGGAGGTAGAGAGTATAGGTCCAAGGAGTTTGGAAATTTCTATGAAGAGAAAGGAATAATGCATGAGGTGACTGCACCATATACACCCCAACACAATGAGTTGGATGAGAGGAGAAATAGGACATTGGTTGATATGACAAGATGTATGATGAAAGGAAATAATTTGCCACATTGTTATTGGGGAGAGGCAGTTACTACTAATGCCTACATACTCAACAGATGCCTTATGAAGAGAATGGAGACAATAACACTAGAAGAGATATGGTCAGGTGTTAAGCCATCCGTGCAACATTTAAAGGTATTTGGATCTATCTGCCACAGACACATTCTAGATGAAAGAAGGAAGAAATTGGATGATAAAAGTGAGCCCTTAATCCTGATAGGATATCACCCAACAAGAGCCTACAAGTTATATGATCCAGAGAAGAAGCAAGTAGTAATCAGCAAAGATGTTATTGTTGATGAGTCAGTCTCGTGGAGTTGGGAGGAAGATAGTGACCCGGTGACACATCTTCCATGTATTATAGAAGAAAAAATTGAAGCCCCAATTGTTGTTCCAGAAAGCAGTAGAACCCAAAGAAGAAGATTTCCCTCCACCAGATTTGTTGGTTATGAGGTGTTTGATGATAATATGATTATAGCCACGGGTGATTTGGCACACCAAGCACTAATGGCAGATACAGAGCCTATTACATGGAGAGAGGCGCTGAAGATCAGAAAATGGAAGGATGCTATGGTGGAGGAGCTAGAGGCAATTGAGAAGAATAGAACTTGGGAGTTGGTTGA